GCTAGAGATGTGCAGGGCAGGCATTTTTCATTGCCCGCCCTACCCTATACCCTACTTAGCCCAGCCCTGCCCTACCCTACCCTATAGGGTAGGGTAAAATTGAAACCCGGCCCTGCCCTACCCTGGAAAAATAAAGCCCGCCCTAGCCCTACCCTAGATTTTCTTTATCAATAAAAACCCTACCCTACCCTATAGGGCTTTGGGCCCAGGCCCTATTCATAATTGTTCATGCAAATCATTTAAAGCAACTAATAATATTAATATATTATTAGTTCGCAATTATGACGATCAAAAAAATTATAATGACATTAAAACTTTAAAAATAGTCTAGTAATTTTGTAAATCAAAGTTAATTTCGTTACGTTTCCACCTGATAAAAATGAAGTTCTTGGCTCTTGTACTCCTGTGGTTGAACAATTCTTATATCTATGGGATGTGGCGCAAGAAACTTTTTGCAACTTTCCAAATTTTGTGTCGCCACACCAGTAACAAATGTCAACATGGAGTAGTCAATCTCCATAGTATAATCAATTTTAAGTACTTGTAACACACGTGAATTAATACAGCAGAAAGATGACGAAAATAGTCCCGCGTCTCATTTCTAATGGCCTGCTCGATGGTTGACTGCGTTATAGTAAAGCAGAAAAGCCCTACCCTGCCCTACAGCATATTGGTGTACATACAAAAAAGCCCGCCCGGCCCTATACCCTACTTAAAAAAGCCCTACCCTACCCTACCCTTAAAAATTCAGGGTAATAAAAGCCCGCCCGCCCAAAGCCCTATAGGGTAGGGCAGGGTAGGGTTTTTTCGGGTATACCCTGCCCTATGCACATCTCTAACTCGAGCAGGGTGGCGTGAAGAACTCTCGACATGAGAAATGTCGCATTCATAACGCAGTAAAAGTAATAAAATTGCACAGAGCATAACACATAAAACTATTCAATGCTTCTGTTATGCCACCGCCACTCTATGAATCACCTCTGCCTGCCTGCGTATGCATATTCGCTTAGCCAATCTTAAATTTATGTAGGTTATGCAACTTTTATACCAACTTTACTGTTTTCAATACATAATAAGTTGAGTAGCATATAGACAAAAATCACAAATAAATTGAGTTATAATGCCCCCATTATTTCCAGGGTAGATACTCCTACTGACTTTATACTCTTATTTTCGCAATAAATAAACAACTGCATTCCATACAATTTCCATACGTGAAAGAATTCCAGTGTAATTTAGCAAAAGCAGATTAATAAAATCCATTCGTATCTTATCTTTCGATGGTAGGATAAATAAATAAGTAATCGTTTTGATGCTGATGCTGCCCAAATAAATACATACATATACATACATACATATGCTATGTTGCTGCACAAGTCGATCTACAAGATTAATCATTAAAAATAGTTTGACACATTTCAAGAAATAAAATAGTAGTTGGAAAACACTGACTGGATTCATAAAATTGTAATTACAAATGCATACCTCCCAAAAAAAAACATTTGTTCTCTTATCAAATCAATGAATGTCTACAATTTTGCTACCTATTTCATATTTTACTTCTAAAACATAATATTATGTTTAAATTACAATTAAAACAAGTTTATGACGCTGAATTGTATAACCAAATGCATTCTTGTGAACGCACATCATGGATCAGTCACACGACTAAATGAAGTGAGTGAGTTTCCTAAAACTTCTTTAGATGGACCCAAGGAAGGCGAAACCTATGCAGAATAATCCACCATAAATAAAATTTTGCACACTTCTCAACCACCATTTTCAGCAAGCAAGAATTTTATGGTATAGAGCAAGGTGTGTGTATGAGAGCAAAAATGGCAACATAAAATTTGCACTTTGCATGTACTTTCGACTACAAATATATTCTGCACTTTCAACATCTTTATTATGTAAAGAATGCTTAACTCAGCTATACATACGTACTACATACATACTTACTTATACTACGACACGATTGTCAGCGTGGGATAAGTGCTAACCAGCGAAGCATAAATATTCATGGACATATATAACCACCTCCTCGACTAAAATTCCACCATCGTCACAATCAAAAGTAAAAGTTAACCAAACTAACGTTAATCCTACCAGCTTAAATATTGTTGGAAGGATGGATAGCTCTCATATTAATCGAGAATTGAGCCATGTATTCAATTACTAAACCTTGGTTTCGAGTTGATGCCTTTTGTGCATGGAAATAAATATAAACCATTAGCTGCACAATTAATTCACTTCACTGTGAAACAAACTTTACCATTAACACACCTTTTTACAAACAACTTACTAATTCAGTACTCGGTGCTACTTACTGAATAAATTTCGTAATCAAGGCAAACACAAAGTTATTAAACGAATGTTGTTAAACCTGCTACGAACGAACAAAACACCAGTACCGGGACATTTTTTCTCGGTAGATTCCGACGCCATGCATCAACTTCCTCTTGCAAGTTTCGTGCAGTGGTTGAGCCAGCAACCGGGTGTTGTTTGGGGATGAGAATAATCCAATACTAGTTCTACTCTCAAAAGCGCAACAGGTGGATCCAGCCCTTCCTATTGATCTCTCTCCCTTCTTGTGCAATTAGAATTCATATGCCACGCTAAAAACACGTGCTGGTTTCTATTTTCATGGCATTTAAAAAATTTCAGCACTGTCGCAGTGGGTCAATACAAGGGAACTGGTGGTAAATATCAGTACCTGTAGCTAAACGGCACACGGTAGCAATTAAGCAGGAACTTCAATTACTTCTCTTTTTTAAATAAACTATGTATTATGCGTTCGTACCATTGTATCATCGCCCTATCCATAAGAGTATTTTGCAAATAAGGTCTTCTACCTAATCATGGTTTGTATGCATTGTACTTTGTACTTCTTCTTGCATGCCTACAAGTTACGAGTGAGATTCATGATTTTGCGATGATGTCATTTACGTTTAGACAAATTCGTGTCACAAACCAAGCCAATATAATATTTTCTTAGCAGTTTGCTTTTGGTGACCGATTTTTTACGCCACCGTGTGGAGTGGATGAATTACAGCATACATATTTTGGGAGTGATCATTTCTGCACTTTCATAACATTTTCCCTCATTTATAAGTGTGGATCTACTTAAAACAACTTGTTTGATTGTAAACAAACACTATTATTCTTGAATGACCTAACCAACTATAAACTACTAATCTGTCTACGATGTCATTTGATGAGGATTTATGGGGATACTTAATTCGTTAAAGAAGTACATGCAATGGGAGTACATTAAGAAATAAGAATTACCAAGCTCATTCTTACAAAACCGGGGTTCAACTTAGAAATACGCTTGATACTTTTAGAACTAATTTAAAAACTGTCTTGCACATTCAAGAATATGTCAAATAAGAAAGTGAAGTTGTTTAACATAGCTGGCAATCTAATAAATTGATAATCTTGAGTAAAATTACACGATTTAGATATCAATGCAATGACTTAATATGTGTATGTACATGTAGATGATGAAAGAAAAATACCATACGTTTGTTAAAATTATAAAATTAACCTTTTTTGATGGTTTGAACGGACACTGGATTATCGCCAAAGACGGTAAGACCGTAGCTAAAATTTTCGTCCCGGTGGATAATCACAGCCCGCTGACGCCAAATTGCCGAGGAGTCCATCTATTTCAGAATGAAAGAATACTTGTCAACTAACAAAAAAAGTTATATTTTAGTGGCTGCACAATTGTGTGACGTGATACTTTGTAACAAAAGTTTACAGCAAATATTGATACATTACACATTTTAAGAAAAATTAAATCGCACCCACCTGTTTGTCCCCCAATGTCAACGCACAGCTGACACTGCTTCCAAACAAAGCGAAAAGATCTCCGCAAATTCAATCTGGCACCATTTAAACTAAATGAATGCTACTAATGGCTCACATTTCAAAACTCACAAATTATAAAATAAGATTTAGATTTATCTTTTGTATTTTGCATTAAGTAACAGATTGGCACATTTTTGGACGGCATCGGATTTATTAGGCGTATTCTTAACCATCAACAAGCTGCCGTACTTTTAAATTTTAAGCAATAGATACCGCATGAATTAGTAATTCAATTAGCTATGTTGTAAACATCATTATTAAGTACACCAATAATAATCCATTTCATAATCCATAAAATAAAGTCCGTCAAGCGTTTGTCCTGCAGTATTTGTAAAAGGCACACAAATTCTTAGTTTGGCACTGACTGAATTGGAAAATCTAGTTGAAATACCAGATAATTTATAATTTATTGATTTATTGATTTGTTAAATTTTTGAAGTTGCACTTTGCTTGCCAGTTTCAAATTTGCTGCCTTTGGAATTATTATGCATTAGTAGGTAGACTTTGTACTATACAGTAAAGTTTTTAAATATTAATTTTTTTTAAACCTTTTTTATATTTTGTATTTTAGTATTTCCAAAAAGTATGAACACGTTTTCTATAATTTGTACAATTATGTTTAGTTATTTAACATAAATCAATATTGATGTGTGGTAACTTGTTTACTTATGACTGAATAATTTAGTAAATAATGCATTTTCACCAAAGAATAAATTGTTTAATCCTCAGTTAAATTTTTAATGTTGTTTTTGTCCAGGAGAAAATTATAGAGATGACTTGTCCCAGTTGTCAGTTCCGTTTTGACAGGATCCTGTCGAACTTTTTGATTTTTAACAAAAGACCCAAAAACTAAATCCACCCTTGATTTGATTGAAGCGAAAAGATGAAGAACTATATAGTTAAGTGTTCAAGTTTTAACAAATATTAATAATGATAGTTTTAATAATTTTCTTCTCTGGAGGATATATTGATGATGACGAGCCAGAGTCACTCAAAAATTTTAACTAACGTGCAGTGGGAGACATGAGCACCATATAGTCAGACGAGATGAGATTTTATTTATTTATTTTTACTTCGTGAACATGGACCACCATCTACGGAGATAATTGGACAACTAACTAACTACATTACTAACTATGATTGCAGTAAATGGAGACAGAGATTGTGGATGAAGCTATAAAGTGAAGTGAAGCTACCATACAAATTCAAAAGCAGCGAGACTTTTTATACGATTAGCATATAAGTTTAATTGTTCTTGCAATAATGATCAGAGAATGAATATCGTGAATATCGTACGCATGTTAATTTTGGTTTGCTTCACTAATTACGAATTACATTATTCGTCATCTCACTTCAATTTTCCAGGCTTTCCAATTTTTCATGCTGTAATCTGTGTTTTTGGGGTCAATATCATACTGATAGTGTTAGTGGACCGCATGCAAAAATACCACTGCTTATCAACTCTGAAAATAATATATTAATGTCTAGATAATGTATGTGCCGTGCCGTTCATAAAAATTTGTCAGTTGTGACGTTTTGTTGTGCGTCTTCCGTCATGAAAGCTATCTAACTGAGGAGATTAACCTTACCTAATCGACATACGGGAACATTGCCTTATTGAGTATTTAAGTGTAATAGAGAAATAAACATGTTCGTATTCCGTCAGGTTTATATTTAAATAAATTATTCATTAATTGAGATCAGGAAGATGAATACATTTTTCAATAGTATATACCAATTAGCAAGCAGGAAGACTATAATTTATAGGCTAGCTAATCCGTTTTCGGGTTAGTTAAAATATTTACATAAATACTAGTGACAAAAGCGACGAATAATAGAAACACGTCCTTATCAGATAATTAAAAAATATAGATTAGACAACTCATCACGTCCGTTAGTCAAAATTGTCACCTAAAGACTGAATAGTACTTAATATGTACAAACCCATATTGGTTGATACAAAAAATATTGGTCTTAAAGTCCGGAAAGTTGTAGTTTGGAACGCAATGGGCATTCATGAGCATTCATAGACTATAAATTGGCTGACGTAAGACGGATCAGATCGCAATTTACTTACTCACTAGCTAGTATTTGGTGACTCTTTTTACATTGCGTTGTACGTGGAAAATTGTACAGTGAAATTGAGTTATATATAACGTTAAATGAAATCGTGCCACTTTTGATTTTATTTTATTGACTCGCCTTAGTCACAAATGGAAAAATGGGATTGCAAACAATTCCCGTATCAACCACACCCATTGAGGTAGCTTCCCTTGACATAAGTCTAGATCTGGTAGAACTGCTACAATGTCCTGTGTGCCTGGAGTTGCGAAAGCCTCCGATTTTTCAATGTGTGGAAGGTCACAACGTGTGCCAAACGTGTCGTCCAAAACTGAAAAACAAGTGTCCCGTTTGTAGGGGAAGGATGCCACCGGGATTGAGAAATCGTGGCTTGGAAGTCGTCTATAACCACGCCTTGTTCTTTTGTTGCAACAAAGATTATGGTTGTCAAACGCTGGTGAGAGGGGACCAGTTCGAAACTCACTTGGAATTGTGTCCGCATAGGTAACAAAACATCCGGTGAAATTCACATATTTATATCTAACAATTACAGTCTCACGTTTTGTGTACACATGTACCGAAATCATAAATACATAGTTGAATCTATTTATTAGACAGGTGATGTGCAAATTCATGAATGACATTTGCCAGTGCAGTTTATATGAAAGCACAAAATCGCACTCTTTTCAAGATATTGAAATCCATCTCAGGAACGGTCATGGTATTTCTGAATATAACTCAGGACAGTACTGCTCTCACGAGGAATCCCTTCAGTTTGGTAAAAAAAAATAACGGGATACAACGAGTCCTAGTTTTTGGAATTAATTCAAATTAATTTTGCAGACGGTGACATTCCTTTAGCATTTTGGAAGTATGATGACCAAATATTTCTGGAACAAATTAGTATCAGGGATAATATTATCTATTCCAATATTATTGCGATGCCTATGAAAGGAGACGAGAAACCAGATCAGTTGGAGACTGAAAAATTATTTGTAGAAATGCAGCTTATTAAGAAAGGATTTGACTGTGCACCGAATGTAAAAACAATTTTAAGCCGAAATAACATTTTCCATGTTGCAACACTGGAAGTCACATGTATAACAATTATTATTAATTGTCACTAAAAATATGACGTACTTGTGAATTTATAAAAAAGGTTTCCATCTACAAAAAAATTGAGTTAAAGAAATTAAGTAAATCAAAAACCTGTCACTTTTTGGCGATATCAATTTCTAGCGAGGTTTTGACTTCCAGTGTGTGACACATGGCTTGATATGTAAAATCTAAACGAGGTTTTCCAAATATGATTCAGATTCGAAAAGCAATCCATCCCATGTGTGTCTGCTCCTTTGGAGGAAATACTGAAGATCAAGCGTTGGTTTATACGGAGTACGATTTCAAAAATAGTGTAGCACAAATCAATCCTTTCACGTCAAAATTTTGCTGGATATCTCGTATTGATTTTAAACTAATACGCTAGTTCTAAAAATGTCAAAATATTTTAGTTTTAGTTATGTTTTGTATGAAATTGTATCATGAATTTGTTCACTTGATAATTTTGACTCAATTTAAATCAGAAATAAATACAATATTTATCTGTAATTCTACATATAAGCATTACGTCATGTGCATGTGCATATGTATTTATGTACTTTTGACTTTTTGTGGCTAGCTGGACTACGATCAATAATGAGTTGGATTAGTGTTACGTTCATTGTAATTTGGCATCAATTAAAAGTAAAGTGTTTGCAAAGTCAAGTTGAAGAACAACAAAGAGGAAATCAAAATAAAATAACAAAGGGAACCTCGAATCAAGAGATGTGGCTTTGGTAGTGATGATCAAGTGCAGAATTTATGCATTGTAGTTACTACAATGTAGTGGTGTCGTCTTCAGGTTTCAATTATCTATCTCACATAATGTCCCTTCTTTTATTGCTCCATTATCATATTCGCATTACGAGTAGTCCGAATTAGCATAATATTATTATCCTTTATAAATACAACTACAACAATTGTCTTTAATTTGATTGAGATTCTTGTGGCGATATGGCGAATGTAGTTTGGCCTGCTGCTGGGCAAACTTCACCTTGCAAACCTAAGTGAAGTCAAGTGCGCCTTCATTCTACTTTATTTATTTATTCCTATGAGAATATATAGGAAAGAGACAATGGTTACAATGGTTAAATAAATTTAGTTTTGCAACTTTTGGTCATTTAGATGGATGGACGAACGAGTTATTGCAGACGACGAGACAAATAAGGTGGCAAAAAGTTGAGGATGAGTTGACCACAAACAACACCAAGACAAAGAAGATGAGCTGTTTGATGAAGCAATTAAGTGAAATATGCGGATGAGGAATTGCTTTATTAATGGGTTTATGGTAACAAGTAAATGTTCAACGTTCTTGTGCAGGTTAAACACGTCAGTATGTACAACGTTTGTAAAAATGGGGTAGTGGGGTACATGTTCATCTGCAATTTATTTTGTAAATACAGAAAAATTCGCAAGGCAAATTACGTATCATATGGTACCTAATAAGTACCAATCCTAATTCCCAGGGCGCATAAACTTTTTGTTGTCCGTGGTTTCTCTTAAGGGGGTGATGCAGGGATGAGCATTTTTTCTAAAAAATTAAAAAATTAAAAGTTCGGGAATTGCATGCAATTTTCCCATGAATGTGGTTGTCAAGCAAATTTTACAAAGGATAATATTCTGCACCACGGGCTTCACCCGACCCATATGGCCCCCACTGGTCATCCATTTGACGGATCTTATCAATCGCGGAACTTTATTCCTCATCTTCAGAGATGAAGAACAAGATAAGATTTACTTATTTCATTTCTAATATGTGGTTGACAACCAAATTCATGGGAAAATTGCATGCAATTCCCGAACTTTTAATTTTTTAATTTTTTAGAAAAAATGCTCATCCCTGCATCACCCCCTTAAGAGAAACCACGGACAACAAAAAGTTTATGCGCCCTGCCTAATTCCAGATCAAATTTATGCTTCCCTGCTCTGGTACATATTCTGAGATTATTTATTATGTAATCAGATATACAACTTTATATAATGGCATTGACAAAATAAAAGCGAACCAGTTAGTGATTTATTCGGAGGATCCTGTTGGATATGGTTGCTCTTTACATACGCATAATGATTAATAAATATGTGAATAAATATGATACAATTACAATTTATAAAATCTTTATTGTTCAATTGCTATGTAATAAGATATAATATCATCTTAATATATGTATGTATTATGATTGTGTGCAAGTGTAAATTGAGTTGTTGTTGGACAATTGATAAGCGTTTGGAAAGGGAGGTATTGAAATGACATGAAAATCTGAGGGATTGGAGAAGGGAATGTTAGTAACCGGATTCATGAGCGAAGATTGAAAAGGAATATATAGCAGACTAGAATTTAGTAGTTGTGTAGGTGATTATGCGGAATATTATATTTAGTAGAGTAGGATCTATTAGATGAGAAATGACAATAGATGAATAATAAGCGAGCAAAGGAAGAAGAAGATCTCTGGACATGGTTGTATAAAAACAACAAGTAAATAAGTCTTATTCTTACAATGTAGGGTACAAAATAGAAGAGCCTATTTGACAATAGCTTATTTAATCCGATGATGGCATGTTTCTATGTGTTATGTGCATGTGTAAGTAATGTAGTGTTGAGTGTACAGTAGTTAGAGTAGGAGTAATGTGGACCTTGTGTGTTGATTCGAATTTTGTGTTATTGTGAAGCTCGAAACATGTCGTTGAAATCCAATTGTTTAATGGTGGGTCCAAGTTAAATCACATTTCACTGCTCTGCAGCAGAGTGTTTAGGCAAGTTTTTTACTTGCTGTATCCGAATTTAGGGTTGTTCCTGACGCCGAATGGTTGATCGGGGGTGCCGTACAAGCCGACTGGAGGGGGTGGAGGGGGTGGTCTGGTCGTGGGTGGAGCAGGCCGTCTGGTCGTGGTTGGTGGAGGTGGGGGTGGTGCTCGTCTGGTAGTTGGTGGTGGGGGTGGTGGACGTCTAGTAGTTGGTGGGGGAGGTGGTGGACGTCTCGTGGTTGGAGGTTGGTAGTTGTATCTATTTAGTGATAAGAAAATGTGTTATAAACCAATTTATGTATGTACACGTGTATCATGTAAGAATTAATTTGCATTGGCAAATCACGTAATAAGATTTATGTATGCATAATTGCATACCCAGTTGTAGGAGTTGGTCGAAGGCCTTGGGAATCGTTATCCTCCTGATTTACAGAGAAAATAAATATTGTCAATTTTTTGGTCATGCTTATTTACATAAAGACTGGTTGAGTGTTTAACCTGGTTTTCATAAGGATTTCGAGTCGTCTGGGTTGGCCTTGGTGGTGGAGGTGGTCTGGTAGTTGGCTGTGGCCTTGGGGGAGGTGGTGGACGGGTCGTGGGGACTGGTCGTGGTGGGGGTGGTCTAGTCGTTGGTGGAGGGCGTGGGGCAGGAGGACGAGTTGGGGCAGGTTCTGGGTAGACTGTAAATCAGAAGAATTAAGGTCAATATCTGTTTGTGCGTATACTTTGCAAGATTATTAAAGAATTTCAAGGTATCCCCTTTACCAGCTTCGCCTTCGAATGTGACCTCAGCGTTGTATCCGTTTTTCCAATCCGCAGTGTACTTGACGACCTGCGTTCTGCCGTCAGGCAAAAGGATTCGATATTCACCTTTCACGACGTCTCCATCAGATTGAGCCTGATGGGAAAAGTCGTTGCCGTCATCTTCCTTAACCGCATAGCTGTTATATGTAGGTCAAAATTAATTAGACACTGTTTGAGCATTATATTGTATTATTTTACGAACGTGAAGTCAAATGGCATTCCAGGCTCATGTTCTCCCTGTAACAAGAAAACATTTTAACTTATTAGTAAAAATTGCATACGTTCTGCATGGCATATATGTAAAGTTATGTATGTATGTACCATTAATTCGTGAATTAGAGTATGCACAAGTCACTGACTTTGACCTTGCAAGAATTAAATAATAATTGTAATTTCATGCTTGTGTTGGTATCATGTCGAATTCGCAAATAAATAATGTGTCAATTATGTGGAATCACGATGGATGATGCAGTTTCTATAATTGGGCATAGAATTCGTGCCAATCTGTCTACGTTTGTTGTAATCGGATGAATTTCTTTATTATATAATTTACACAAGATGAAACAAAGTTAAAGTCCTATTTTACCAAACAAAATCTATATACATACATGATGATTATGCAATTGTTCATGTTTGGGCTGGTCATTGCTACTTCTAGCTCTGTCGTCTGACACTGACCAAATTAATGGGAAAATTTCTGTTTCCTCTCCTTCTCCCAAATTCGTGCCTTTATGATGTTATCACTCCTCTTCTACTGAATATTCATGGATTTCGACTTGGTGAATTGTTAATTTTAGAGTGGACTCCAATCGAGAGACAAAGAAGAAACCTGAGCCCAGTTGAGACAAAGACCTTTGCATGTCTTACATAAGCTGAAAAATAATATGGATCTTGTCTTACTTGCTAAATTTCACATTTTTGCATATTTATGTTGCACGTAATCGTTTAATGGTGGGACGTTCTACTGCACTTGAATAACTCGACACCAAATTTATTGTTCAATTCAATTTGTAAACTTGCCCTTTATACAGAATCTGAATTTGTAAACGAGTCAATTAAAAATCTTACAAATTGGCCATAAATGGTACACCAGTTGAAAATAACAAACGGCATTGTGCCAAAAAACGTGAATTTTTTATAAAGTGAATCCTTAGCAGTTATTCATTGTAGCAGTAATGCAACTTTTTTTCTACTATTTGAATTGCAATTGTTGTAGACATACATAAGTTAGTCATCAATTGAAAAAAAAATACTTAATTTACCTCTTCTTGACTATTAATCGTCAGCTACACAGCCGCTTGCGACACACGAATGACTACTTTGCAACGATTAAATAATTTGGCCACTGATGTATATAGAATAAACAGGAGAAGAAAACGGTGAAGATGCGTCATGTCTTCTTCATGAAGTGTTAAATACCTCACCTTACTTATTACTGCTTACACATATTGCCTTCAATGAATGAATTTAAATTCTGCACAAACAACATTTATGTCGCAACTTGCAGTAATGCCCAGTCTGTCACTACTTAACATAAAGATGGATGCAATTCCAATGCAATTTTTGCAATAATAAATAATAAAAAATATCTAAAAGATCGAGAAATTATTGTAAACTGATTTTTCATCACAAAGACGCAAAAGTGTACATAAGTTGTCTAATTTTAACTTCTTTTAACGCATCTCTGACGCAATGGGATGGATCACATAAGCCTGTTTTGTCTGTGGGCATAAGCTAATAATAATTGATTTTATGGTTATATATTCATACCAACAAATCTGCTCAACTAATGTTGCAACCTTAAAGAAAAAGGGTGAGTGGTCAGAGAACAGAATTATGTACCTCCGACTGAGAGGAAGATGAACACGACGACGGTTCGAGGACATTTCGTGATTTGTACCGTTCTTGAAAAAAAAATCTCTTTTGTACGGTGAGAGAATTCGCTAATCTGTGTTATGAGATTAGTTGAGAGAGACTATGTTATAATGATGGTGGGTGGTTCGCTGGGTCCAAATGAGGGCCAAATTTAGGTAAATAAGTAAATAATTTATACTTGCAGATTGCAGAGTATGGAAAACTCTTCAGTAATAAGATCATATTATCCTATTGATTAATCTATTGGTTGGTAATAAGAGAACATTAATCTTGAATATTTGCAGCAGGCGACGCATGACATATTATTATTATTGAAATCAAAACTGCACGCGCAACGTTATGTATGGAGAGCTCTGAGTGGTCATCTTCCATTTTCGCCTCCTGAGAATGCAGGAAAAGGTCAACGAGTCAAAGGGTGCCATCATGATAAGGTGGAATATGAATGCAGCACACTTGTACATTTATCAGTACTTACATAATTATTGAATATATGAATATTAAACTTTAGTTAATGAATGGCAGATAACGATCATTTGCAAAGATTCGTTCTCATCATCTTCTGTGCTGGCTTTTTCAACGCCCTAATTATACTCCACACTTTTTATGGACAAGGTGCATCATTAGGTTAATCATTCCCCTTGCTAAATTTAGGCCTGTTACCAAATGCCTAATGAACCTCAACGAGAAAAATATGCACTAATTAGGGAAAGACCACTACCCTTACTCCCATTCAAAAAACTGATGCAAATGAGCCGTCGCCTTACTTCACTTGCATACGTAATACCATCTAAGGGAACAACCTGGCTTTGATATTAAGACCTTGGCTTAGAATTGGGAGACACAATTTGTTGAAAAGTGTGAGTCATGACTTAAGGTACATTATTTATGACAAAGTGTCAACATTCGAAATGCAATCAAACTGATATTTACCTACTCCGAGGGGATAAACCATAAAGAAGAGAATGGCAATAATCCCTCGTTAAGTCGATATATTTTCAAAGGCTTCTTAATTTTGTGTCATTGGCTTAAGTCTTACCAACCCAACTAATTATCATTTCATCAGCTTAAGCTCATCCTCTCATTCATATAATTTGAAAGAAAATTAATGTCCACGCACAAAAATTTATATACTTTGTGCTTGACTAATACACGAACGAAAAGACAAGAAGATGACATCATAGAATGTACGTATACCTACCCACTAGAATTAGCTACCTTCATTCAAAATTTGTTTTGTAACTCTATCCATAGCCTTCAACAAACTTCAAAGGGATACTAATTACTTGGCAATCACCACACACATGCCATTTTTAGCTTGTTCTCATCTACAAGTGTGAACACATGTCGATGCATAAACCACCCTGCAATTATCGATTGGGTTGAACTGCTCTAATTTTGCAAGTTTTGGATTTATTCTAAAGCAAATTTTGCCCTAAAAATGTGATAGTCGTCGAATTAATGCATCATGCTAATGATGCACAGACCAAGAAATTCAATCCAAGACGATATGCATAATGATGAGCACAATTATTGCAATTATGCTGAAGAAGATTCTCAAAAGTCAAGGTAATCATGTGTCGCATTCTTTTGCGTGCTTTTACTTTGCACAACCAAACTAATAATTCGACTTTGGGTGACACGCTAACTATTGTAAAGTAAAAGATGTACATATGAATATTATGCCTGCATGGAAGATCAGGTATCATGGTCAACTGCCTTTCGTTATCTGCCCAACCATAAACTGCTGCATTTTCCACAAGTCACTAGAAATTCGACATGTGTTTTGCTTCTGCTCAATGGCTTTTATACATTGAAGATGATGCCCATTGCAAACAAAATAAATAAAGAGGAAGGAAGGAAGAGGTGCAACGCGAAGATATCGTTGTTTCAAGAACTATTTGCACAAATATCAAGAACACCACAGCACCAGAGTTGGTATAATTAATTTTCTTGCTTGCACTTTGACTCCCTTTTTTCCTTCCTGCCTCATCATGCAGTGACGACATTTTTGTCATTCAAGATTAAAACAAACTATTTTATAAATATGTGTGTGGGAAGATAAAACAGAAGTCTTGTTTAGCACATTTTGTCAATACCCTTGTCCATGTGAAGTATTTTTATGCAAACCATATTACAATTTTTTACTTCTTGTAATGCATTTTGAGACGCTAATTTGAATTTAATGATAATGAAGCATATCTTATAAATCTGTAGAATATTGTGCTAAAATAAGTGCCTACTTTATTATATTGCCCTATATATGTAGTTACGCTTCCAGATATCTGTTTATCATTGGTACTAACTCCGTTATATGCATTCTATGCCAAGTTGAAAGGGAATTTTGTGCTCAAATATAGGATTCACTCATTAGTATATATGATAAGTAAAAAAGGATGGACCACCACTAACTATTTGTAATCTTTTTATAATAATGCGTTTTTCGTTTTGTTGTGTCATGGACGTAACAGTTATAAGAATGGTTTGACAATTTGTATATAAATGTAATTTCCCTCATCCGCATCTGAATACGGAGAACCTAATGTTCTCTCCGACTCTCAAGTAAAGAAACGATAGTGAAAGTGATTGGAGCTGATTTTATCATAGTGTTTTCTATAACCAATTAGAGCTGACTGACAGCCAAAAAGTCGTGCCTTTTAGCAACCACGACGGGTATCAATTTACATCCTCTTCAACTGAAATTAATTTACATGGTTGAAAATTTGATCGTAATGAAATCAACGAAATGCAATTGAATGAATTGAATTTTACTGAAGAGGAAGACGAGTTCTTTTAATAGAATCATAATTGGTTTCATTCATCTATTCTCAATTTCCTGTTTAAAAATGTACCATGCAAAATTCTGTGCATTGCGTAACAGGACGGATGGTGTCCAACTTCTATCTTGACCAATCTTGTAATTAATTTTTGTGAATAAATTCGTCACATGGGTATAAATGGGATGATGACGATTAATAATGGCACTATCACTGGGGATGAGCGTGGTGTAGGTAAGCCTTAATAATTTCCATTGTTTCTTGTACCACTTATCCTTAGCTTGTTAGCTAGTCGTGCGAAGTATGTGCATATTTACAAAGTGGTTTACTAGACAAATGAATTAATGTGTGAATGAGTCGTCTGAATCTACGATCACTTTGTTTTTGGTGTAAAGAGGAATTTAATAGATTCCTAAATTAAATAAATTTGAAAAGAGATAAAGTTTTGGTAAAATGGGATTCTACTGACCCATTCTCCAATTATGAGAAATGCTAAAATTTATTTTCATGGTCATGCAAATAAAAGAAAAATATTTAAATGATGCACTCACATCGGGGTTAAGTCCTTCAGCATTGATTTGTTCCTGGGAGAGGATAGGCTTGGTCGTGGTGGGTGGCAGGTAGGTATTTTTTGGAGCCTCAGGTTTCTGGTAGTTGTACTGCGCAGCGACCGCTCCCACCAGAAGGAGCAAGGACAGAGCCTGGAACCAAAAATTAAATTTTAGTTTAAAAAGAATTAAGAAAATTACCAATGAAAATCTTCAAGCTCCTCTCAAAACACAGTCCTTTCTGCACACTTGGCTTGCATAATCAGAGAAATTTATGCTACTCTCAAAATCACTGTACAATGTCACCACTTTATTGAATTTTTCAGGAATCACAAAATTTAGCCCTGTACGATTGCACCAAAAAATGAAAAAATAGGATCAATAAGTTACCTTTAATGAATACATCGTGTTGGCGTATTAGGCACGAGATGAAAACTGAAATAAATTCTTGTGCTCGGATGGACCTTTTATATAGAGCCTTAAGGTGGCCAAAAACCAAGTCGTAAAAAAAGAAGATGCTCCTGCAACTCAGAGTTTGAGTGGTCACATCACAAGAACGTGCAATGATAATTCTGAAGGGGGCAGAAATCCCTTCTCTTATTATTGTATTATACATCTTGGCTGTGCCTTTGCTCATCTTCGCGAATAATAGCAATGCATATTATGCAATGATAACGACGCCATCCAAAAGCTTACCACAGGTAAATTGTTGGAATTGGCTTCCCTGTACTTATGTACGCATGGATAATGTGTCTATGCATGCCCACAATACCTAGCCAAGTGACGATTTGCAGGTGCATGTAATATAATTATAGTTTGCATATCCATATAACAGGATATGTATCAAAGTCCATCATAACTAGTTATATTTATTGTCAGGAGGTGAAGATGACCATTGACGACTTGCTTTCGTCTTATGTCTGCAATGTCAATAATGTGTCACATTGTGATAAATTTTATTGTAGATTTCTTAAGGAGAACTAGATCCTGGATGACGAGAATTAAACAGATAACTCTTGCGTTGCAGATGCTTAAAATTTTCTACGTCTTATTCTAAATTTCATGATTGACTGGAAAATCGTGAAATGTGTCGATATGTATAAGCGCTTATAATGGGGAAAAGTAGAGGTCGTAGTAACTCTAAGTCGTCGTATTTATTATTTTTACACAAAAATGTAAATATAAAATTATTCGTAATATGTTGTGTATGTGTACAAGTATATGTACGTGTAAGTTAGTTATAAAGTACGTCTCGGACGTTATTGTAGTGCTGGGTTGACCTTCTTGATTTTGATTTCCGATAAATGTAAAATTAAAGTAGGAATTTTTAAAACCAAATTAGATGGATGCCAATCGTGGTCAGTCCGGATAATAAAAATCACATTTCACTAATTATGTATTTATGCAGATACACGACTTTCACTGCTTTCACTTTCCATGTCCGAATTTGGGGTTGTTTCTAACTCCAAAAGATTGGTTTGGTGTGTCATAAAGATTCTTTGGTGGTGGTGGGGGTGGTGGTCTGGTTGTTGGGGCTGGTCGTCGAGTGGTTGGAGCTGGAGCTGGGGGTTGGTAGCTGTATCTAATATTAAAGACATGTGACATCTATTAAAACCAACTTCAACACAATTATATAACATTGAGTAACAGCTTAGGAGACTTACCCAGGAGTTGGTCGAATTCCAGCAGAGTCGATGTTGCTTTGATTTTCATAAGGATTTCTCGCTTTTGGCTTGGGCTCTGGGTATGATGCAGTTCCCTCGTAAATCACCTATTGATCAGTTGATTAATTAGGTCCGATATTATAACCAGTGTTGATGTAAATGGATTCACAATTCACAAACCTCAGCGTTGTAGCCATTTTTCCAATCGGCAGTGTAGCGGACGATCTGGGTCCTGCCGTCGGGAAGGAGCGTTCGGTATTCACCTTTCACAACATCTCCGTCAGATTGGGCTTGATGAGTGTTATCAATATCTTCCTCTTGGACCTTGAGAGTAAAAGATTTGATAAACTCTATGCTTTCAGGGTAAACTCGTTTAATTATGTTTTCTACAATAGATTTCCACCTTGTAAGAAAAATCAAAGGGCATTCCTGGTTCGTGAGCAGCCTGGTAAGAAAAAGCAATTTATTTAAATACATACGAATCTTGGAAATTGATTAAAAGTATATAAATATTCAAACAATTATATTTATAATCATAAATTTCTTACCTCTGGGGCAAGTCCTTCGGCAGCTACATTGGCTTCAGACTCTGGTTTTGGAGGGAGATAAGTGTTCTTTGGAGGCTCTGGCTTCTGGTAGTTGTACTGAGCAACAGCAGTCCCCACGAGGAGGAAAAAGGTCACGGCCTATAAATTTCCAAATATACATTAATCTAAAAATAATCTATGTATGCAGCACTTTTTTCTACTATAGACTCAGAAATCGTTAATAGTCACACAAAACGTCACAATATTATTTGTAAAAACGATCCAAAAAAGCGCAAGACTTCTTAGAAAACGGAACGAACCACAAAACTGCATAAAGGGGGATTATTTACCTTAAGGGAGCACATATTTGTAGTTACTTGTTGGAGTGGACACTTTAGTGATACTATTCCCTTGTGCTTGGCTGGACCTTTTATATAGAGCTAAATTTTGATAACTGGAAATTAAAAGCCATATAATGGGGCGCATTCCTATTTGCAGCCTTTATTCATTCATTCATTCACTATGAAATGTTTGGGGGGTAGAAATCCCTTCAATTGTTCTACAAGATCCGCCCAAAAATGCGATAGTACACATATGTCAGCCCAGCGCCAAAGTCATGATAAGGCTGGAATATAAATTAGCCTAGTCCTGTATTTCTTGTTGTAATTGGTATGGGCCATTATTGATTATGGCATCATGCATACATACACCTGCACTCATGTCATGCCAAGTCACATTCGCAGAGATAGAGCATCTTCCACATATTATTGGCTATCATTTAGATTGCGGGCACAAAAAATAAGATCAAGAACGTAATCAAATGGCCATAACATTGAGTTAGGCGTGCATCTTCCCTTTTAAGTGGCGTTGTGGTGTGTCAACTAATGACAAAATTGGCATCTGGTTTACAGAGAGATCTTCTTTTCAATGAGAACCAGATCAGGATCCAATCCACGCATGTCACTCATCCACATTTATATGACCAAATTAATCAAGATGATGAATGAGGAAATAAACTAATAAACTCAAAATACAAGGTTCAATATTGTGTTGCAAGCAGAATAAAACATATCACATGGCCCCACGCGAAGTGCATCAATGCATCAATGTTCCGGTTGCATAATATCACTCATAACAAGATGGTATTTTCTAGAATGTTTTACTACTATATATACAAAATGAGAGACTTTTATGATGATTTTTTTTATTTCTGACATATGCACGTTGAAAATAATAGGGTCAACCCTTAAACATAGCATCCTTCCACCCAATCGCATGATGCTGACATAAAATAAAATCGTTGAGTAAAATAAATTGGTAAATTCATGTGATTGAAATAGATGACAAGATCACGCCGGTCGTGGTTCATGTGTTGTTGTAGAGTGAACAGTGAAGGTGACAATTAACCCTTTACCTTTGGCGATGGTATTGTAAGTAAAGCAACAAGAATGACAATAATTTCGCTTCTTCTAATCCTTGTCATTACACATCATTCACACATTAATATGTGCGTGGTTGTGCTATGTGGTGACCTAACGTGTACATGCTTTCCCTTTTGGGGAGGTTTGATTTAAGTAATAAAATAAATGTACTTATTAACGCAACTTTGTAATAAATTTTGAGTGTATCCAAATTAAAACGAAGGAAGATGTGCATGCATACATCACATACAGAATGCAGCTGCTGTTCTTCAACGTACTTTTATGTATGCATATCTTCTTCTTTTGCTCTGCCAATTTGTGGAAGGCCGTCAATTTAATGAATACCTCCTGTTTGAGCTCACCATTTGAGAACTAAACGCGGCTGACAACCCAGCAATTTTGTAAAGTAGACATGTCCCCTAATTGATTTGACATTAACTTTATCGTTTCATTTAATTGGTTGATTTGTAATCAAGGACGATCGATCATCATCACTTTTATGAATTTGGATTTTTCTGATACTTAAAAGATGATTAAAGATGCAAATGTCGTTCTTTCCAAGATTTTATATTTTCAACGTAAGAAAACAATTAAATATATAAATATTCATCTGAATGTGGCTAATTTTATACGCGTCTTTCATGTAAAAATATCCATAATTATTTAAGTAACTTTAACTTTACCTAATGATAATTCCATCATTCATCCTCTTGTTTAATTTAAGGTCATCCATTAACTTATCAATAATTACTTGTACATATCACTGTCAATTAAGCTAATATACCAACCTTCCTTAGGTTAACATCCACCGTCTCAAATGACCAACCAACTAAAAGCAAAAATGAATTCGATTAGAGACTGATTGCAGCCTAACAAAGCGTCATCTTAAATTAAAATTAGGTTAGAGAGTGATTTTGACCCAGTTCCATATCTATCCGACGCACATTACAGTCATACTTTGCCTGCATACCTATGAGGATGAATGAACTCAAAAATGTGACTGCCGGTGGGTGGGTGGCAACAAAGAAACAAAAATAATGCATAGCACCATGACTGGAATTATGATTTGCATAATTTAATAATTTACTACCAATTTAGCCTCATCTAGAGTTTTATACATACGCTATGCGATGTGAATCGACTATGTAAGTATGTACGTAAGAATATGTACGTATGAAATTTTAGTCAGCTACTTGCTGATGGGTTATGGGCCTAGGTTCTCAATGATGAGCCTGATTTAATAGTGATACAGATTTTGAAAACACGGTTTTTAATTTATTGATTAGACGGTTTTCTATTATTATCCATGAACTATTATACTCTAGATGACAACCTTGAACTTAATTAACCATTCATATTGTCATGCAGCTACCCCGCAGAGCTTCCACGAAAATCAGTCTCATAAATAGTACGTCACCCTACAAGCAAATTGTACTACTTTTTAAGGATTTGTTCATTATGCAGAAGATGATACACACATCCAATCGGAAACTTTCAATCTTAATTATAAACTTAATAGTGCACAATCTGCGTGATGTTGAGACTTCGTTACAGACACAATTATTATGCATACATATGCATACATACGCGAAGAAAATGCGTAAAGTTTTAGTTGTCATTAAATGAATGCTCGAGATCATGCCTTGAAGCACAGATGTAATGCAGAACGAAACAAATCCTAGCAAATTGTTGATTAAATCACGTAATACAGATAGTGCAGGCATGAAACCTTTCTCTGGGCTTCGTTATTGTAAGAAACGATTGTATTTAATATTTCAACATTACATGCTTTGGCACATGCTCAGCGTTGATTATCTATGTATGTATTTCAGGCGAACATTAATAATTATTAGTACGATCTAAATTTGACAAGTCAACCATGATTCAGCAAATCAAGTGTTGTTATATTTACGTAATTAATATGCATATATTTATTTTATGTTTAAATCTAACTGTCTGACTCAGGTAATTAGACAACCCTAAATATAATACTTACATAGTTTGTGCGCACACTCGGGTATCGTGTGCTTATCATAATTTGAGACAGGTCATAAAAATTACCTAATGCTGAACATAAAATCTTAAGGTCTCCTTGGGTGACTCGTTGATCTTCCACTGATTTTTCATCTCACCCTACCCCGTTAGTCAATAAAAAAAAAGTTTTGAAGAACTTTATTGTAGAAAAATGCCAAATGAATTAGGGATTAAAAAAACGATAATTTTGTAGTACCAAAAATTAACCTTACATTTAAATTTTAAAAAGGTTCCATTTATCTAAAGATTCTTGAACTTGAATCGATTTTAGAAATTTCCATTTAAAGACATTGCCCACGGATAGATGGGATGAAAAATCAATGGCACACCAACGCTTCCTCCATGGACACCTTAAAACCTAGGTTCTAAGGGGTTCTGTATTAGTTATGACTAATAAATACATACATATTTATGCCAATTATGTATGAATATGTATCCATCACAAACTCCTAAGCGAACTAGAACAAAATTGTCTCTCGGAAAATATTTGGTTAGGATGTATTAAGTTAGCTAAAATATAACCATAAAATCGTAAAGAATGTTTAATTTCAACGTTTAAAGATCAATCAATTAGAAAAAGCAATAAAAAGTTCAAAATGATGAACGTAACTCATTAAAGCTTCATAAATCTAATTGAACAAAATGTACAATAATTATGTATGTATACGTATTTATACTGTAATAATTCTGCCGTTTTAATTTTATTCAATGTCAGATATTGAACAAGGTAGTTGCACGTTTTAGTTAATCTTCTCATCCCATTGTTGGCTCTTTTCTCTGTAATAACTATTTATAATTATTGGTTGTTTATTGGACACGAATATGTGTAATGCAGATTCTGCATTGCAGAATTATGTACATGTGGTTTTGTGCATCTTTGGTTGCATGCAACTTAATTTGATTTTTTAAATGCTGATTGAACGATGTTTGACTGCTGGCGATTCTTTATTTGACTTTATGAATTGTTCCATAAAATGTGGAGCCAAGTGATCTTGCCAGCTTATTAGTCAATTGTCAATTGTGTTTGTACCTGTTGGAACTGTTGGAAAGAAGACGATATATATACTTCCTGCTCAAAAAATTAATATAATCCTCGTATATCGTATGAACTAAATTGTTGGTCAGAAATAAAATCATGCGATGAATTTGGTGCAATATACTTCATAAAGGAAGAAAGCCCTTTTCATCCATTGTCTTTTCCATTGTTGTGATTCTCATAAAAAATGGAACATTCACTAAATTTGTGCATGTAAACAACACAAGAAGGTTCTCTTTGCATGCTATCTATATTCTTTTCCATTGGTTTATCCGCTTTTTGCATGGTTCTTAAATTCCTGGATATTTACAATGGCTAAAATTAATTACGGTATAAAATAGAGACATTGTTATAATTCAAAGGGTACGTGATGATTATATATGCAATTTGGTTATTTTATGTGACAAACTGAATTTTTAGATTTATTTTCGTTTTAGAGTTATAAATCGTTAAAAATTAATTCCCATTCAATTAATCTTAATTATTGGTTCTAATTAGTATTAAGTAAATATACTATTTAGGATGGTGTCAAGATATTTTATGTAATGATTTTTGGACAAAAAAGGTTGAACTTGAGAAAGATTAAGTTTGAAAAGTGTGCACTTACGTATGTGTACCATAAATCCTGAATATGTACATAGCTACGTATACGTATGCACGTACGTTTATGGTATATGTTTGCCAAGATGAAAAGAAATGTATAAATCAGATCAACAGTGTAAATCACAATCACAGGAATTGGATCATCATCTAAATATCGTCGATATCGTAGATAAATAAAATATGCGACAATAAATCCTCAGGCTCATCACTTTGCAGGATCATCAGATTACATATCCAGATTGTTTGCCATTGTACTTCACATCCTTGTTGCTCTTCTTCTTTGTCTTCTTTTTTCCTGATCTTAGACCTGCAAAATGGGTCTACATTTAATGCGCATGGGGCATGGAGAGGACATACGATTTCACAATAAAGCATGTCAGACC